TTAGAGGGGTTGGGGCAAACAGCGAACCTAACAGGAGAGCCATTGAATGTATCAGGTTGCAAACAGAGGCTTTATCCAGGGGTGGTTACTATGTCTGCCACTGTCCAGATACATCTTGACTTGCACGAAATACATCAAAGAAATTGTATTTAATACACATGGAGAATGAAGAGAGCATTTTGCACTGGCTTTGCTTTCCATTTCTGTTGAGCCTTTGTACAGCACCTTGCATCCCATTTGTTTTGCTTTGTGCATCACCTTAACATAAAACCAAAGCAGCATCTGTTCCTCCTACAGCATCTGAACATGAAACAGAAAGACAAGAAGAAAGAGATAGAAAACAAGCCAAGAGTCTAAAGTATCAGAAATTTCCAATCTGTCTACCAGTGCTGATGTGGCTTGTAATCCAGAGAGGACCATTTATTTTTTTGCAAGTTGTCAAAGTTGATTAAATTATTTCAGATGATAATTTTCTCCCACTGGATTTTAATCAATGAAATGATGGTATAAATGCTCCTTTTTATGGTTTGACATCATTGTGACAGTCTGAAGAATAATCAATAGAAATGATAAGGATGGTTACCACTGATTAGTTTATTAGCATTATCAGTTTCGTGGTAACTGACCTTTTCCCTCTCTGCCTCACTTCTTTTCAACTGTCATGTTTCATTTGGTCAGATTGATTTCCTTGTACTGTAACAGTTGGTATGTGGCAGACTTCAAATGCTAATCAGCCCTTACAGTTTCTCACACAGTGTTGAGAAACTACTAGTTATATTTAAAGAAAAATGGGAAAGCTGTTTCTAATTGGGTCCTCCTGAGAGTGCTATAAAATGTTACTTGCTACTAGTACACATTTTATTTTGAAATACAAAACTTAAATGTCGATCGAGTAATTTTAAAATATATTACCAGTAAAGAAGTTGCTACTGTCATTTAAGAAAATCTGTTCATTATGGAATTAAACTCACAGAAATTTATGTAGCTTTTGTTTATATTAACTGTACTTGTATATTTGTCTCTAAAACATGGTCTTGATTGTTGTAGGATGTGATTTCTTAACAGTAATAGGAAGGCATGCTTGGATGTGTGTCCATGCATCCACATCACAGCTTCAGCTCTCTTGTGCCATGCATAGCAACCTGGCTGGGAAAACAACCGCATCTCCCTTCCTCCCATGGTAAATCTGCACCTGAAACCCTTTACCTATTGTTTTTATACAAGCGTGGTCGTCCCTATTGAAGTTTTTGTGGCTATTTAAATGAGAGGCTTATGTATTCAAAATAGAATTTATTCCCTAAGACATGGCACTTGGTGAAATGTTGTTCACCTGATTTTTTTGATGTGAGCCTTTGTCTTGTTTCCTTAATAATCAACTTCTCCCATCAGTGAGATTATTCTAAATAAGCTACAGCACACCTCTGCTAAGTTTCAATGACACACTTTTTAAAAAAATCTTATCACCTGTACAGTTCTACCTGTGAAGTTATGGTTTGCAGTAAAACAGATGCATCCTGTTCTGAATTCTTGCCTCTGATCTGCTATAATGGGAAAACAAGTCATCTTAAACATCATTGCACATTAAGTGCTAAGGGAGTAGTTCTTGGCCTCTGTCATAAAATCTGCATGTTAATAGGTCAGAAGTGTTCTCCACCCTTTCACGACCCCAGTGTGGCTAGCATTTTCAATAGAACACATGTGGAGGAAAATAAGACACAGTTACTTAGAAATTAACAGCTGAAAATGGGATATTGATTTGAACTGCAGTCAAACGGTTTTCTATCTGTCGTCTAATTTGGAATTATCTTTTGTGGTGGACTCCTCAGTCTTCCCCTATATAGATCTGGTTCAAATCCTGACTTGCTTAAGGTTAACATGGTGTAATAATTTTGCTTTATAATCTACCAATAGTCGTTTGTCAGTGTAAAGTCAGTGTATCAGGCTATCCTGGTCGTTCAAAACCCTCAGAGCTCAAGATGTTCAATTTAGATTGGCATGTTAAATGGACAAGCACAAGGATATTGCCCCTGAATTTTTTGAAATTTTGAAAGATTCAGGTACATGGGAGTTGTTTGAGTGCTCACGCAGGTGCTTGATTTTTGCAAATTAGAGCATCCAAAATTAATTTAAATGCAGATACTCTTTTAGTGTCAAACATTGTTTGTAAACCTATTTAGCTGATCAGGCATTGGGTCTGGACATGTTAAAGCAGGGTAGGTAGGTGTCTGCTCTGTCAGAGTCTGCCAAAGGGGTGTTCCCCATTGTGCTGAACACATGTTGTCGTAGCCCACGCGTGGAAGGTGACTGCAGCATTGGCCCACGTCATTCAGCAGCACAGTGGCTACAGTGCTCTCTGAAAAGAGCTCCAGCGTACTCCAAACGGTTTTTTCTAAAATTATTCCAGTAAATTTAAGTTGTGTGGTGAAACAGAATGTTCTGGGACAACTTTGGCCGTAATTGTTACTCAGTTTTCCCTTTCCTTCTCCTTAAGGAAAGCTTAAAATCCAGTTAAGTCAGTGTGGAATTGCTCTGGAACACTCTGGCTAAATCTCTGCAGATTACTGTTGCAGTCCTACAGCTACAGCTCTATAGTCTTTTGTTTTGGCAAGAATAAACTACGCGATGTGACAAAACTGATCTTGGAAATGAAAAGCAAGAATGAAGATTTCTTTCAGAATAAAGGAGGACAGAACAAGGGGCATTTCTGGAGTTTAGGAGAGGTATTCCTGGGTTTGGCATAAGATTGCATAGGTTCTGAGAGATTTTGGAGTACATTTAGTGGTGTTTGTGTGTTGTTATTAGATTTTCTCCATGTAACTTATGACTAAATAAAAATCGATTTAGAAACAAACCTCTGCAGCAGTACTGTAGATTACTTAGCATCTCTAAGCACATGTCAGTGCAGTATTGTGTTTCAACTAAGTAAGATTTTACATCCACATTGAAGAAGCTTGCTCAAAGGAAAGGATTATGAGCATTTTTCTATGCATTTTACCCCGTTTTGGATGGGGTACCATGTAGAAAGTTGAGGGTTGGTTTTTGGTTTTTTATGAGTAGAAAAAAGAAAAATCCCTCTGATTAGAAAAGAATATGAAAAATTGTTTGATTATGTTATCTGGCTACTGTTTATAATATACAGAACAAGTTGTTTTCATTTACATTAAGTTATTTATATAAATTACTCATAGATATACATGAAAGTATCCTTGGGTGCTTCTGAAATTTGATGACAGGCTCTTACAGAAAGGTGTTTGTTTGACCTTAGTGTCTGTGACTTGGTAATATCTTTTTGTTTCAGTACTTGGGTTTTAAAGAGCTATCAATGTGTAATTTGGGGACAGGGTGGGAGGGAGGTTGTTGGGTTTTTTTTTGTTTTTAGAGAAATCCTGTTAGGATCCTTTAGTTTACCCTTGTAGATTTAAACTTACCAGTTTCTTTTCATTCCATGCTTCTTTCTGTGCTCTGTGCATATTAAACTGCCTGTTTTTCTTATTTTCCATTAAGTTTCGTTTTAGCCAGACCTATATTTCATTAACATATCCTTGTTCCACTTCCTCCCCATGTACTTCTTCAAACTGAAGCTCATTTAGGGTAATACTGTGCATCTTGGAAGCATACGCTCCTTATCTGTGCTGACAGGCAAACAAAGGATCCCTTAATACTTTTCACACGTGTGCAAAACTAAACACATAATCAAACTGAAGGGGAAAATAGAGGTCATTAAGCTGATATTACATGTCATTATTTTATCTTGTCACGTCAACCCTCAGCAATTTACCAGGCTTAGGATATTGGGGACCACAATGGGGCTAATTAACAGGCAGTGTGCTTGTTTACTTTAGAATTTCCTAGTGTCTCATAGGTGACAAAAGAAAATCTAATTATTTTGTTATTGTATTAAGTGGTTTGTCAGCCATTATATAATTTCTTCTTCTGAAAAAAAGCAATCTGAAAATTATGGAGATCAGGAAGGTAGAGCCTGTTGATATTTTTTGTGAGAACAACAATTGCAATTTAAGTCTTGAGGAAAGAGAAACACATGAAACAGTATTGTGAGACTACAGTGAATGTTGTTTTTCCTCCTGTGTACAATTATATGTAATTAGATCTGTCCTTTTTTTATTATGCTGTCTAAAAAATTAATTCTACCTATCTAGGTACTGAATGAGCTTGTAAATAAGATAGCAAGATCAACATAGTCTGAAGAAGTAATTAGTAACAATTTAACAGAAATTGTTCTGTTCAGGCTAAATCAATAGTAATAGAGATAAGTAAATGGGTGGAAATCTTAAGTAATTACAAATCCTTTAAATTATTCTTGAATTAGAAAGCAGGAGAAAAGAACGGATTTAATTACTTTTATAGATACATGAGAACTTTCTGAATTCTCTCTTTTGTTCTTTCTTTTCTAGAATACACTTTTTTAGGCAGCTAGTACTGTTTCCTGTACCTTGTTGGACTTCTTATGTAACTCGGTTAGCTAGGCTAGAGCTACTAACTCGGGTACTCTGTTTTTTTTCCAAAAAGAAGAGTTACAAACATTAATGGGAAGAAACAGGCTTCTTATCATGCTAACTAACTTCTGTACAGTGGTTTCAGACTGCTTATTAATGGCAAAATTCTTATTTTTTGCATCACTCTAAGGAGGAAAGACCACTGTTCTTTTTGGTGTTCTGTGCAGAAAAGAGGAACTTTTAAGAAATACTAAATTTGTCTTTATTTAATGGAAATGTTACCAGTATGTTTAGATGAGGCATTTAATTTAAAAAAAAAATCTAATATTCTGCTTTTTTATTCTTACATACCATAGAAAGTTCTACTTTGATGCGTGAATATGCTATCTAGATTGTACATTTTGCATTATTGTTTTTAATTTTAGTTACAGAACTATTTTCTCATGGGCTTTTGATACATATTCCAGTATCTTTAAAAGTTCTGATAGCTTCACAGCGTTTTTTCAGTATATGTAAACTATGGTGTTTCAAAGAGTTATTAGCTTTATGACACATCACAAAGACGAGAAATCCTCAAAGAGCAAAGAGGTGTTAAGGTTTACTCTAAAGATACTATCAGAAATTAAAATCAAGCAAAATAAACTGGAAAGCTGATAGATGGTACCCTTTGAATCACCATGGAAATGCAAAGGTCAGAGAACTTTATTCAGTATTAGAAAGATTCTGCATTAAAGCATTTGCTAATTGACATAAATACTTTCTTGGTATAAACTATTCTGAGTTATTACTGAAGACCATTCTCATCAAAAGCTATGAATGACTGAAGTAAAAGAACAAAAAAAAAACCCTTCACAGTTAGTGTTTTGTATTTATAGACCAAGGAGAGATTGACGCAGTCTTTAAAATAAATGGATGATTTAATTTTGTTTAACCTTTCTCCCTACTTTAGCTGGAAAGGCAACTACTGATGCAGAACCAGATGAGAGAGAGACAAACAGCCATGCAGATTGCTTGGACACGGGAATTTCTCAAATATTTTGGGACATTTTTTGGACTTGCTGCTATAGGTTTGACAGCTGGGTATGAAGTTTATTTCCTTACAGAAAATATATTACATTTATATTTCTATCATGCTGGATCTTCCTTTTGCATTATAACAGGTGGTTATTTTTATCCAGTAACTGCTTAGAGGTTGATCAAATCATAGAATCATAGAATGGCCTGGGTTGAAAAGATCACCTGGTTTCAACCCCCCTGCTGTGGGCAGGGTTGCCAACCACTAGAGCAGGCTGCCCAGGACCCCATCCAGCCTGGCCTTGAATGCCTCCAGGGATGGGGCATCCACAATTTCTGTGGGCAACCTGTTCCAGTGCCTCACCACCCTCTGAGTGAAAAGTGAAAAGATGACAAAGTGACTCTGATTTCTGTCTGCTTCCAGATGTGTTTTGGTTATGTCTGTACTGCAGACTTATATAAAAGCAGAGATGTGTGATCTGACAATAAAATGATACAAGCTGAGGTACCAAAAGTTCAGTGTAAAATGAAAGTTGTTTGTGGAACAGGAGGGATTGTTTAAAAGATGTGCAATTTCTTTTCTGTATTGTGATTTAATGAACGATTAATGAGCAACAAATCCTCCACCATCTGGGTTTTTTAATGTGTCAGTGAACAAGTGGACATATTCTGAAATCTATTCACTTAAAATTTGAATCAAGAAACCTACACAAGGGGAAAAAAAAACCCTGGCTAATAAAGCTGTATTGCATGGGGAAGGACTTAATATGTTTTTCTTGTGCTATAACATGACTAGAGGGAATGTAGGTAATATTTGTGGTTTTGTATACATGGTACAGATTAAATGCACCTTATCCATGATGTGTTCTCTGTGGACTCAGGTGCATTTGGAACTGAACATAAATCTTGATTGCTATATGTTGCATTTGGCTGGATTGTTATATACATGTGCACATGCATGCGCACATGCATGCTACACGAGTTAGATAATCTCATTTTTGTTAGATATAGTCAAAACTCATTTGAAGCATTTTTTTAAATAGCCTTGGGTTCACAGTTGAGCAAGAAAGCAACCAGAAGACGAATGCTTCTGAGGAAATTACAACTTTTTCTTCTTTGATTTAGAGAGCGTAGAAGGATACACAAGTCCTAGACAGTCAAGGTCAACTTAAACTAACAGTGCTGATGTGCTGAATGTCCTAAATAATCTTATTTTTTCCTTCTTCTTCTTTTTTTTTTTTTTTAAACAGAGCAATAAAAAAGAAGAACCTAGGAGTTCTACTGCCAATAGTTCCCTTAAGCTTTATACTTGCCTATCAATATGATATGGGCTATGGGACACTGTTGGAAAGGATAAAAGGTATGTGTAACTAAGTTTGGTTCACAGATTTTCTCATTTTTCTGGACAAAAATCTTACTCTTTTCTTCTCTGTTACAATCAGATACTTTCTGATTATAAAGACTCTCCTTTCAAAGCTTTTCCCTCCAATTAAGACTGCTAGTTACTTTCTCCTCTCATTCAAAAAAAAAAAAAAAAAAGTGAATTCTAAGGCCATAAATACAGCTGAAGTAAGCATTGCCTATTTGGGAGAAATGACAGATCTAGTGATTTCCTTCCATATTCCACTCTGATGGTGCTGTTTTGGCAAGGAGTAGGGATGATAAGAGCAGATAAAGGGATGCAGACAGGAATCATGCCCTTACACCTTCATGACCACATACAATTGTCAGCTGATCATCTTGCCACAGGGCCCTGCTAAGATGGAAGAAAGAGAGGTGAGTTCCAGAAAGTGGGGTCTTGCCTCGTAGTTGCCAGTGATGTATCCAATTAAGTGATGGGTGTGTAGGATTATGGAGGTGCATTTATGTTAGCTCTGATTCGTAGTGAAGGAGACGTGCCAAGAGAGTGTTCCCTGTAAGTGAAGACAGCACGGGGCCATGGCTTGTCACCTTCACAAATAATCTTAGTTAACAAGCTTGATTTTCCTGTCTGCTACTGACACAAACATAATGAAACAAAATAAAAATTTGTTTCAGCTCTTGGTCTTAGTCTCCACATCTAAGAGCTAGGTTTCCTAACTCCGTGTACTTCATCGAAAATAATGATAGACTAATTAGACAAACTCCGAGATGTTTCCTGGTGCATACAGGTGGAAATAAATTTAGGTGATGCAGCAATGTCTATCTGCAGATATTTCCTAAACCCCGGCTAAATGCATTTCTTTGGATTTTAGTATGAAGAGGCAGCTAAGCACAGAGAGAAAAACTGGGTCATTCTTGGAAATCAGAGTGTTGAAAAGGAGATTAGTACATACAATTAAGAAGGAACACTTGGAATTTAGCATTTGTTAATATTTTTTTTTAATGAGGTCATTTTCATTCACAATTTTGAAAGAGTGAGCGTATCATAAGGCAAGCCCCATGGCAAGAGTATGTAATGTGTTTACGGAGGGCCACGTGGTCCTGCATAGGGTGAAGAAGGGCTATGTGGTATCCTGTTGCTTTCCATATAGGAAAAATCATCTTCACAACTTCAGATCCACAGGGCAACTTCAGCAGTATGCAAGGGTTGTGAAAACATTTTGGAGAAAAGAAGCTATGGAGCCAAATCAACAATAAGATAAAATTAAGTATGCCAAACTAACTCTGTCTTTTCCAGCAAATTAATTTCTCTTTTCCAAAAGAAATGTGGTAGATCTACTATAAACTGGTGAAAGCATTTAGTGTGGTATCACATGAATATTAAGTTAGCAGGAAGGACATGGGAATTAGTAGACAGGTAAGTATTGGAATAAAGAGAAACTTGTGAAAGATTTGTACTTAAAGAGGAAGGATGGTCTTTAGCAGGGTTATTAGCAATATTCCTCAAGATTTGGTCTGGATCTGCTTTTGGTTTGCATTTGAAATTGTGAGTAGGTCATACTAATCAAATCTGTGGATGACAAACTTGATTGGTGTCATCAACAGAGAAGAAATAAACTGTAGTACAAGAAGAACTGATGATATGAAGAGGTAAATAAGGTAGGATTCAATTTGATAAGAAAGTCAGTGAGAAGCTAGAGACCAACAGGTTTTTCTACCATTGGAGCTCACCATCTGTAAATGATAGAAGAAGGGAAAAACCTGAATGTATTAGGTGATCACAGAATGAGTATAATCCAGTAGTTTGATGAAATTGTGAGAGTCAAGCAGATGAGGTTTCCTAGTGTGACAGAATGGTTGAAGTTGGAAGGGACTTCTGGAGGTTGTCTGGTCCAACACCCCCACTCAAGCAGGATCACCTAGAGCCAGTTGCCCAGGAAAATGTCCAGATAGTTTTTGGATATCTCCAGAGATTAATATTCCACAACCTTAGTAGAAATGAAGAGCACAGATAGGAAGATATTGATGCAGGGAAACAGTAATATCTTCCTTGAAAATTTATACCCAATTTGGATTGCTTCTGTACAAGGAATCTAGAATTACTGAAGAGTTAAAATTATCAGGGAATGCCAAGCTGCCTTGCAAGAGAAAACAGAGTGATTAGTTTGTTTAGCCTTGTAAAAACACATGAGAGATTTGGGTCTACAGATCGTACTTACAGGAGAGGAAAAAGGAAAGTAAGAGAAGGAAATTAAACTAATTACTAATATCAGCACTACAATAAAAAGAAGTAGACTAGCCTGAATGAATCTGGGCTGGAAATCAGAAGAAGGTTTGTAATTATGTGGAAATCAGGTTCAGGAGTTCATTTTTATTTTAAGATTAAAATCAAGTAGTTGAAGAGAAGGTTTTATGACACAATTGACCTGCAGCCACAGTGCTTGTTCTTATTACGCAGCTGATCCCTGTGACCGCTTCAATACTACTTTCTCAACCATTTCTCTGCTTGCCCATGTGTTCTGTTGGTGCATGCCATGCTTCATCTCTGTGGTGTAATAACTAATGTATACACCATTCCCTTTATTGTTCCTTCTTTAACTGGTCTCTTTCCTCCAGGGTATGCTTGTCAGCCCCATGGCCAATTCGCTTTCCTAATCTCCAGTTATTTCCGTGCTGCACAAAATTCCTTGTGTCTGAACCACCTTGACCACATAGCCCTCCATCTGCTGTCCTTCATTCTTTGGAATCAGTTTATACCCCTGGAAGATTTCTCTATTTCTCTTTCACCAGGCATTTTGCTTCTGTTCTTGCTTACAGTTAATTTTTTCTAGCCTACTTGACCAGATGTTTTCTCATTACTTACTCATTCTCCCACATTGAAATCAGAGGGGTTTTTTTCCTGCCTTAGAGCTTGGGCTAATTAAAGCAAACACTGAAGTTTTGAGTTCTGCTTGTGCTGTTGAAAAGCCATTAAGTACGCCAGGGCCATCTATCAGAGCTGAATCTTTTCGTGATGGCAGGGTTACAGAACAGCCCTCAGGTGCGCTATCTTTTCTGAATGGCTGGGGACACTGAGAATCAGTTGTGTTCTTGGCCTTGGTGTTCTGCTTTTCCTCCCAGTCCAGGTACATATTGCTGGTGTTTGTCAAACAAATTATTAGAGGAGGGGAGGGATTATATAGCCAGTCTCCAACTGCACAGAACTTCTCCACCAAACAATGGAACTATGGCTACCTTTTCCAAGATCTAGATAGCTTGCTGCTTGTGTCCTGAGCCATGTGAAAAGGATGGTGACTGGGCAATCTGCTCTAGTGGATGTGGGTGGCAGGCTTAGAGATTTGATAGTCTATAACATCTCTGTCACCTAACATCTGTTGCTATTCCATAATCAGACGCTATATGCAACTGACTAACATTGTGTTATTACCAGTTACTGGGAGTGGTAAGCAGTGTTGTCCTGTTGGATATCACTGATGTGTGGAGATCCCAAGCACTGCAATACTACCAGAATTGCAGTTGGTAGTATTGGCAGCATTCTGACCTGTTTTAAAGAATGACCACAGTCTTCTCTGCATTACAATATTCAGTCAGGCTTATTGCACATAATTACAGCTTCAAATCACTGTCGTAAGGATCATCAAGCTAGGAGTTAAGGCATAGATAAACAAGATTGTTGACATTGTACCAAATGGCATCAGCCAAAACAAACACATTCTTTACCTAATCTTCATCCTTTCTTATATCGCACTCAGACCACCACAACTTATGTATGATGTTCAATCTGTATCTTTGTTTTTTGGATTCTCTGTCCTAGATGTTTTCATTCCAGCCTTACCCAGAGCATTCTGCACCCTACAGCTTTTCCCTGCTGTGCTGTTAAGACTGCATGTTTAGGTAACTGTCTTAGGAAATCTTTTTGTGAGCAGTATGCTTTGACCAATGCTTCTTCAAGTCCTGTGCTATCCACTTTCTGCCTGTAGCCCGACATCTTTTAGCCTAGGCTCAAGACAAGAAGAAAAACTGTGCCCAAATATGGCATGTCTAGGATACTGTGCTCATTTACTTGTTAAAGCTCTAGGTACGCTTTTTTGTGTACATCTGATCCACCCTCTTCTCAGACTCCTAACTGGTCAAATACAGTATGGGGTTGGTACAAAGTACATGGCAATGCTAAGTCCTTCCTGTATCTCATGCCTCCATTCCAAAGCATGTATGTAATAAATCTCTAAACGAAACATTACTGTAACTCAGTGTAGTTTTTAGGAGAAAGGGGCTAACAAAAAACGGCAACAACAGCACAGATGATTGTTTTGGCTGAAGTTCTTTCAAACAAATGCAGCCTGAGGCAGATACTCAGTTCAGACCAAACACTTCTATGTGCAGTTATCCCACCAGTCTAAAATTCCTTAAAGACAACTTTAATTCTACACTGGCATCAGCTCGTTTGTAAAATACATAGCTGTGACCTGGTATTTTGTTGTTCTGGCACAAACAAGAAAAGCTTCATAATTTTCTTAATGTTTTGTGGGGTTTTTTGTTTGGTTTTTTGTTTGTTTGTTTCTACTTCCTTTGCTTTCTCACAGTGAAATTTCTTTATTTTTTTAAGGTGAAGCAGAGAACATATTGGACACACAGAGCACTTTGCTAGAATTGCCGAAAGGACCTCTCACTTATGAAGACCTTGAGAAAATCAGAAGATCTCAGAGCAAGCTCTTCACAGAAAAATAGGAAGACAGTATTAAAGCTTAATATCTGAAATGTGATTGTAATACTGGTTTTGGACATAAATGAATCATTAAAATTTTGATAAAATTATGACCTTTTATAAAATCAAAACATAATTCATTTTTTAAAATCAGTACTTCCTAAAGCAATTTTTTTCATATTGTATCTCTTGAAAATATCCATTGTTGGTGTAGTATATTTTCTTGTCGAGAATGAAAGACTGAATTTCCACTGTCTACTTAGAGTCTGAAAATAATTCTCACCTGTAGTAAAAATGTTTGGTGCTGACCAAACTCACTATAATCAACAAAAATAAGTTAATTGGTAGTTAAAAATTTGTATAAATATGGTCCTAATTTTCAAACATATTTAAGGATGCACAGCTCAATTTGAAGTCAGGAATCGACAGTCAACTTCTTTGAAAAATAAGACACTTTTTATTTGCTGTTCTTTAGGCAGTAAGCTCACCATCTCTCCTTCAAATTCTGGAATAAACAGCTTTTATCAGAAGTAAGTTCAGAAGTAAACACGTCAGTTGCTAACTCTTAGGAAAAACTGTATTAAAGTATGAGCAGAGATAATTTCTCAAAAAGAGAAAACAAATTATGTAGCTATTTCCTGAATCTTTTTCATGCTTGTTTGGCATTCGGAAACTCAGGATAATTTGTTTACATGAAATCAGAGTTTCACTACTAGGATGAATATTAACTTCGGCTAACAGCAAGCAAAAATTATTAATGTATATTTTTGTAATGGGTAGATCCAAGGGGCCTTACAAGTACTGAAAAACTGAGGGATTTTTTGCATGCCTTTACTTTAGCATGGTATATACCGCAAATATAATGTTAGTGTATTTTCATGTTCTGATGTTACACTTGGCAAGAAAATACATCTTTCTGTATTGGAAATCTTGTTTAAAAACAGGTTATTTTGTGTTTTGGATGGAAACTCTTCTAGCATTAGTCTAATTACAGAATGAAAAACAAATGCTCAAAAAGCATCCAATAATGAATAAAGCCTAAGTCTGTACTGACAATTTGTTGAGTTAAAAATTAAATTCCAGCTAGAGATAATGCCCCGAATCTGTTTTTGAAGACTACCTGACTAAAATTAGAATATTGTTACAGTAAGACCGGTGAATATATAATAAAACAAAAGCTTTTCAACGTAGAAGAAATTAATAGCACAGTTCCCGTAGCTGTGTAAGATTGATTTCTGAAAGTGCATTCACTTCTGCATTCAGTCACTTCTGTAATTGGTTCTGTCATCTGCACATTAATGACGCATACAATCTGTACCAGATTTCAAATGTGATGCATTTTAATGTGCAGAGTGATAAAATGGGTTATAATAGTTGGTTTGGTTATAATAGCTTGGTCTGTACTTTGGCGATTTAGGATTTAAGGCAGTGATTTTAATTGTCTTGGAAGGCGTGCCTCAACTCAGCTTATAGTGCTACCCATGTTCAGTAAGTGTACAAAATGCAGCGCAAGACCACCTCATGTTTTATGCGTGTACTATAACATAATCACTCACCACTTGCTGCTATATTCCATACTACTCTTAATCATGTATGTAGACCTGCTTACTTGTTTTGCTTTGAATAACAGATCATTTACTACCTTTTCTCCAAGTTCTGAAGTCCACCTTGCTTTAATTTTGAAGAAGTTGTAATAGCCTTTTATGTTTTGTTCTCTGTCATCTGTTGCTCTCTTTCTTCCAAGAAAGAAAAACAATTAAACCAGCTTGTTTTGGTATCTGTATGTCTCCACCTGTGCCTTTTAACCCACCTTTTAATCCTCAATAGGATTAAATACTGACAGGATCAATAGTGTTAATCCATTGCAAGCCTCCGCACTAAAAAGTGACGGAAGGGGGGCAAGTTTAATTCAGCGTTACACAGTGAGTATCAGTGAAAGTTACCAAATTTATAAAGGAAAAGCAGCAGTCTCTAAGCAGGACAGTCTAATGCCAAACCCAGGAATGGATTTAAAGAGGCTACATAGATGTGCAGAAGATTGTCAAGAAGTTAAGGGTTAGTCACCTTTGCTGCCTTTATTAGTGTTAGCTTTGCTTTTTTCTTGATAAATATATGCTTTTGTTTTGAAGATGCTCCTTTTTTGTTACCGAGTATTTATTGTACTGCCAGTGCATTAATCAAAATGCTTGCATGTGCCAAACCCAGTAATTTTTTTGGCATAGTCATGCCAAACCCTAGCCATTCTGTGATTCTATATCTGTCACACACAGATATCCAGCTACAGAGTGGTTCAACTGTATGATTTCCTTCAGAGAACAATGAAAGAAATCAAGAAAGCTTACCTTTGACAGGGCCTGCTTCAGGGAAATAGATATTTACAGCACAAGTTGCCCATAATCATCGTACCAGTTGTATTCACAGAGATAAATAAAGCACCTAAAACATCCTGCTCCCTTCTGTCATTGGTGCTCAACTGGCTTGAGCTGTAAGACTTACTTTAATATATCACAGCAGCTGTCTTTGTTTTCATGAATCACTGGGGATGAGAAGGAGAATAACTGTAGGGGGAGCTTGTTCTGACCGGAGGGTACTACTCTTACTACCTTAATCCTCTTGCTTTTTCTGGTTGTAACATCTGATAGCCATGTATCCTGAATCAGTGTCGCTCAGAGCAGGATCCTTCTGGGAAAGTGAGAAGTCAAGTCATTATTCAGATGTCAAAATTATGGACATGTCTCTTTTAGAATCCAGGAAAGTGCATGCCACTTGCGAGGCCCAACTGCCTTGTCTGACATTTAACATGTGAATAAGCCTCTCATTCAAGGTATTCATGGCTGTCAGGGTATTGTTAAAGGGTATTTTTTTATGTAGCCACTTGTTTTCAAGAAACATCCTCCACCTTCTATAAACTATGATTGATTTGATTGCTTTGCTTTGGCCAACAGAGACAACATTTAGTGGAAAGCAGAGAAACGGTACAATCATCCTTCCCTTATTTTAGGGTGTACCTACCTTGCAAGATCCTACAGATCATGAATGGAATTTCATTTCTTTGCTCTGCTGTTGTCTGTTCTTCTTTATAATACAAACAATAAGAAGGTGGATAGTTGCTTCAGATTGCTTGTTTTGAAATTATTTATTTTCTTCTGCATGTATTGTGTAGTTTTTCTAGCTATGATGAACAGATAAAGCTAGCCTCTGACTTGATTTAAATTCATGGCAAATGCCTGAGAGATTGCCAGTTAAGCTTGTCTGTACAAAATCCTGTATGATTTAAAGTTATATGACTAACATAGTAAGTTTCTTTATAACTTACTATTCAGATCACAGTAGATGTAGTCAAAAGCCCTAGATGCAAAGGCAATGTTACTAAAATACGACTAGAGGAAAAATACTGAGCAATACACCCTACTAGTGAAACTGCATTAAGCAGAGTAACATTAAGCAATGTCAAACTCATTCAGACATGATCCTTAATAAAACTCATTAATTCACTGCCTGTTGTTGCAGTCTTTAATCCTAGCAAGAGAGCATTTGTAGCCTATGGTTTTCAACAAGAAGAGTGATGATGAGTGCTGCAGTGCAGGCTTCCCTGAGGAATTATGAATGTCTTGAAAAGACATTCCCTCCAAGGCGTCTTTGACAACTTGAGCTCTATCACCTACTAACAAGAACGAAGGGAAGCACAGAAAGTATTGTCTTTCACATTCAGTAGCCATATCTGATATTTTGCTGCTTTTAATGACTATATCCAGTATTGGGCAGGGGCATCAAAGTAAGGTATAAAATAAATTATATTAGTTTACAAGCTATATAAGTCACCAGGTCAGTCACTGCCCTGACTCAGGAGGCACCTTCCTTACTGCCCTTGCACACGACTACAGCTCTCCAGTCACTGAAAACAATTATTTGCCTAGAGGACTACTTAGAGTACACAAGTAAGTTCACCTGATGTGGTGGGTATTTTCAGAAAAAAAGTCCATGAGACCAACAAGATCAAGCTGCTGCTCTCTTTAAAAATGCAAGTTGTGATTAGCCATGGACAACTCGTCTGTAACAGAATAGCAGTCAAGACTTCAACTGAGAGAGAAACAGGTCGAGGTCTTATTCTTTAGGAATTTCAGATTGGCAGCTTCCCCTTCTGCGGATTGCATCCTAGAACAGCCTGGATGATGGTTAGTGTCTGCTGTTGAAGCAGTACCACTGCCTAAAACATTTAAGACTGGACCAGAAAGGAAGTCCAAGTACAGACGGCTTTGCTGGTTGCTCACTATTCTAGCCCTCCACCACCTCTTTCTATATCCAGCTCAGTGTAAAACACACAAATACTCCTCGAAAAGGTGACTAGACTCTATGTCTTCTCTGCCAGCATAGGTAAATCATTCACCTTTGCCCACTAGGCTGTGGACACTTGTCTTCATTGTGCTCTCCTTCTAGGGTGAGTTTTGAGGGTTTTTCTCTGTACATTAACAGTAGTCAAGGGAGAGAAAGCATAGCCCTCACACAAAAGGATCTGTACAAAACAACCTCGTTGTATTTTTAGAGAGATTAACTTTTAGAGTTCTCCACAGTATGACTGTTTATAAAAGGGGACAGAAGCCACTTCTTGTCCTGTTGTGCTGAAAAACAGCCAACCCAAAAGCAAAGTTTACTTTCACAGGGCGCATAGTTCTGCTTTGGTGAGCCTGAAGACCACCACCCTTGTTGGTGAGAGCCTGCTGGGGGCTGCTGGTGAAACAGGCAGGCATGGAGCTCCGCATCTCCAGGATGCAGAGTTGGAGCTGAGGGGCCTCTGACGCCTGGGTGCCTACAGCTGCCAGTGAACGTGGGTGCCCCCAGCAACAAACTTCAACTCGAGAGGAATTCAGGCTTTCAAATCCCACCTCAAGCGTCCACGGTTTAAGTAGTTCTGAGCAAGTGTGTTTATTTTACTTTACTTGCTGCTTTTTGCTTCAGATAGCATCGTTAGGATGTAGCAGCAGTTATGCAGATTCTAGACCTGCAAGGGCATAAGCAGACGAAG